TTAAAGGCAACTATTGATGTTCCCCAAAATACCGATATACTCCCCATTGGGCAGCGAAATATAATGCATGGGTAAGGGTAAACGCGCCCAAATCATACAAACGCACAAGATTTTTTGTTAGATAAAATGAGGCTCACAATTAACCATTGCTCGGTAAAAATTCGAATATCTCGTTTCGAATTTAGCTAGAGTAGCATAGTTAAATACCTGTAGCTGTACGTAATTGGGAGCGTAAATAAGACTTCGAGCGAAGGATAGTAAAGAAACCGGATGCAGGCATCTGAACAGTAGCGGATGCACGAAAGTAGAGGACAAGAAAAACACAGAGAGCAATGGGACTAGAATAGGTGACTGCATTGAGTGGATACGGTGCGATTTTAGGCGCGCTCGAAAAGGTAAGTCAAGGAATCGTGGCAGCGGAGTCATCACGTAGGTTAACCAACTCTGATGCAACTCAATCAATCAACTATTCACTCACCTTACAAGTTGTATTAGCTGTTATGTACTTGAATGCAAACCCAAATGTCTCAGTGGCTTTCAATCCGTTGTTATTGGAAACTTCTACATCATCATCCGAACAGAAGTATTTAGTTGAGCAAGTTTCTTTAGTATTACTGCCGAAACTAGAATGCTCTGTCTGCATTGTTGCCGGTGACTTTACTAATTGTGATACAACGTTCTTCGAGTCACATGATTTGGCAAATTTAGTAATTTTCCCGACTAGACAAGAAGCTCAGTTGGATGTTGCTTACACAAACAAAGTTCGTTTGTTTTCCATTCACAAGCGTGCACCACTAAGCAACTCGGACCATTGTATGCTAAAGGTTTTCCCTACCATCTACAGTAAAACTAACTATGTCGCATTGACGAAACGACAATTCAGGACTATCCGACGACGCAAGTGCTCGGTGGAAAATATCGCACGAGTTCAAGAAATGCTTCCTTCAACCGATTTTTCAGTTATTACAGATGAAGATCTATCGCTTCAATGCGATCATCTCACGAGTTACGTAAGCTTTTGCTTCCATCTATGCTGCCCTATGGAGACGATCTACCTGCGAGCAGATAGATTTTTTCACTCCTGCTGAAACAACTTCGAAGAAAAAAAGAACGTGCTTATAAGCTCAAAATGACCACCCGAGTCAAAAGCCCGACTTTAGCAATTAAAGCTGAACTAGCAAGACTTAACAGTTTATACATTGAAACGGTACTGGGAAACCGTAGCTGCCGGGATCTCTGGAGGCTGTTGAAGCAAATCTGTGGTAAAAGTACCATCAGATGTATTGGAACTGTGGATGTTGACAAACTCAATTCTGAGTTTAGTTCCTCTCCGTCGAGCGCTTTTCCATTATCCTCCTTCACTAGCTCACATTCAGCCGCCTTATTTGATCAAGTTGACGTTACCAGAGAACTCAAGAAGCTAAATACAAATAAAGCGAGTGGCCCTGCTGGTTTATTACCCGTGGTTTCGAAGCATTGTGCCGATTCCCTTACATTACCCCTGACTGATATTTTAATAAGTTTCTCACGACTGGTGCCATTCCCGACATCTGGAGGTCAGCCAGAATAATGCCAATTCCTAAAAAGGAACCTCAAAAGTATCGGCCTATTGCTTGTACTTCCGTGCTCCTAAAAGTCCTCGAAAAGCTACTAGTTCCACGGATTTCCACAACCACTCGTGCTGATAATGTCTACCAGTTTGCGTTTGGAACCCAGCGCACCACGCTTGTCTCGTACCTTGTGGATTAAATAGCCTCTGCGCTAGATAAGAAGTGCTTCATTTTCTCGATTATTCAAATGAGTTCGGGAGTCTTGACCGATCAGTTCTGCTTAACCTACTTCAGTTGTACGGAGTCCACCTTGATAGTTGTAACTTGTTACGTGACTATTTCACTGATTGTATGTCCTTTACCCAGTGAAACGGCAAAAGCTCCTCCATCCTCCGCGTTGACTAAGGTCATTTGTAGGGCGCATTCCTCACCCCTTTTATTCTCTTTATATGGAGAAAGTCTCCCCATAACAACATTCATTGGATGTAAATATGCTGACGATGTTGTCTTGGGGTACAGATTTCCCACCACTGAGACACCTACGCTTCAATGTGGTTTAGACGAACTGGTGAGTTGGTCCTCAAGCAAGTCCCTTTAATGCTTTGAAATCTACTGACATAACATTTTCATTTCTCCGCCCTGATAAATTGCGAGCAATTTTAGATGCTTCTCCTCTATTAACTTTGGAAGACAAAACCATTCCTATTTCATCCACTGTCAAATATCTCGGTGTCGCTTTTTCACAAAATCTCTCTTGGTCTATGCACGTTTTGGAGACCTTTCACAAGGTCAGAAGTTTATCATTTCATGCTTTCCGACTTACGAAGTTCTCCGTACCGCCAAGCTTAATTTTGTGACTTGTAAGTGCATGTATACTACCCCACTGGTTGTACTGTTCAACAGTAATTTTAAGTGGACTACTGCAGAGACTGTGTTGACTGCGTGATCGATAAAACAGATTTCCAGATATGGTGACTTACCGAGAGATTTCATAGTTGATTTTATTGCTCGTAAGTATTTTGACGCTTGCATGAATTTTTCTTCTAAGGTCCTAAGTGATCACTCTCATCCGCTACATGATGCTCTCTACAACGTTATCTGTCTTTCATACACGCTCACAAGTTAGGATATTAGTTTCTCGCACTTCGTCGTATAGAAACACAATCTTGCCTTATTTATCACCCATTCTTGTCGACCCCATGAAAGTCACAAATGCTTTGTGCCCGCGGTTGCTTGAATTACATGCGCATACCTTTGACTATTTCATTCTCCAATCTGTGTTTATGTGTTTCTAACTGGTCCCATTCATTTAGCGTATCCGCAGTGATAGTGTAAACGCTGATAATGCACCTATTTAGGTGTATAAAGTCTATTTTGACTCTGACCTTGAGACTATAACTCAACAGTTGTGTGGTTATGAGCAGAGGATTAGGCGACAAGGTCCATTAAAATGGAGTAAGAGAGTTACAAGAGGAAAGACAAAGGCAAAATAATGAGACCAAAACCGATCATTATAAACGTAAGCTAGAGGTAGAAAACACCTTTGCTGTTGTGCTGCAGTCAAAACCGATACACGGCAAAAGAACCAGTAAAAGCATCTAAGCTGCCATATTTGCGACATGGTGTTGGATAGTGAGTAAAACAAATCCCTAATCACCCTAAGTCATTAAGTAAGTCAAGAGAAGACGTCTATAGGAAAGCAAGAAATTTCACGCACTCAACCGACGGGAACAACCAGGGTGTTGCTGGAACTATAGCCATTGAAAACAAGATTTAGGTAGGACCCAAGTTGAGTCGATAATCATCACATCAAAATTCAAAGTTATTCGGCAAACAAGGAGAAGAGAAAGCGATATTCTAACTAGAGATCAAGCGGTCGAACAGGGAGCATCCTTTGGCGTTGGTGGCTGTAGGAGTTATTTTGAAGATCTTGGAGATATGGCAGGAGCTATGTTTTGTGCCTGGGTCCGCCAGCCGCGTCAAAAGAAAAAGCCCACACCGCTCTGCGCACAAACGTTCTATTCGCAACTCTGACACAAAGTCCAACAAGCTGTATAGTCAAAAACTCACTCGTCCGCTCGATCGCCTGATCGACCGCACTGAGGCAGGCGATTCGGTTCGCCCCAGCTTTCAGCCACCATCACATCCTTTCCTTTTTCTTTTTTTCGTAGTTCTTGTGTTGCAGTTTCCATATCCTCGTCCACTGCGGACGAGCTTGCGGTCTATCCTGTGACTGAATTGGAGCTACATTAGACTGTTGCCGAATGCGGTAGAACGCGTATTTCTTCCCAGTTGCCTTAGATACGGATTCTCATGCGTCGCTTTGACTTCGATAAGTTTATTTTTTGCTTTCTTGTGGGCGTCCACCATAGCCTTCACTTTCCGGTGCACAATGAAGTCGTTCCGCATTTTGTGACAACTCACACTACAATGCATTCCGCTGTATTGTTTCCCGGGCGACGTACTCACGGTGGCTCTTAAATCAAGTTTTGGCGGTACTGGTAATTCTTGAATCTGGGGTATTGCAGAAATGCAATGCTGATCTTCTTGATTTTGCAAGTTATTTGATAATCGGTCTTGCGATTGTTGTTCGCTTTCAGGCTCGACGGAACGATTCTCCTCCACTCGGCGGCAGTGGGTAAAAAATACGATCGACCTTCACGGTATCTTTCAAAACGCTCGATTATTTCCAAAAGATCCGGTTCATTGTCTCAAAAATCCCAGGCCTCCATTATCCGACTTGCTTCAGAGCCGATGGAGTATCTGAACATTGCCAACTGGTATGGTCTTGGATATTCATCCAACTGGATCAACGCCGCGAATTCCATCCAATCCGCCTTTCACGCTTTCCAGTTGTCCGACAATGTGCTTTCTCTCATCTCTAGCGGGGTTGGCAATGAGATCATTGATTGCTACTCAATGGCGAGCAAGTTTTGGCACGTTTGTACCTCTGACACCATGTTTTGTGCCTTGGTTCCCCAGCCGCGTCAAAAGAATGAGTTCATAGCGCTCTGTGCACCAACAACTCTGAGACAACTCTGAGACAAAGTAGAGCAAGTCGTATATTAAAAAACTCACTCGTCCGCTCGATCGATCGGTCTCCTGATCGACCGCACTGAGGGAGACGACTCGGTTCGCCCCAGCTTCCAGCCACCAACACAAGCTATACACCAGAAACGCTCATTTCATATGGTTTAACAGCTTTCAGATCAAGTTCTTAGGGACATCGGTGTATGGTAATTCGAAAAGCCACTAGCAAAGCGTAGTATCCGAAAAGAACCCAATGAGTGACAGTGGCGAATAGAGCTCGGGCATGGAGATCCTATTGCAATAAATAGAGTTCAAACATAACGATAGTTTAAAAAATATTAGCACCTAACACGATGCCCTTATAACCAGCATGGGACATTCGAAAAGCAATGGTTATAGGGTATAAATTGAATGGCTCACCGAACGATTGCCGGCGACGCTAGACACATTCACCACTGTGCCCTTAGTGGCACTCAATGCGGGCACAGCGAGTTTCGTCAGTAGAACAGGAGCTAGCAAGTTGACCTTCAAAGTGCGGTCAAGTTGTTCCGCTTCCAAAGTCTCGATGGAACCCCAAGGAAGGTAAGCCGCATTGTTAACCTGAATAATTGAAAATATAAAACCAGAGGAGAAGAAAGATCTACGTTGTAATCTGACCACGGTGCTCAAAAGTTGCGGAATAAATTCCGAGTGGGTAAAATTGGATTAAACACAATTAGGTAAATAGTTAGACGGAGGAACGAAGCCAAAACAACTCGTAGAACGACAGCTGGCTGCAGTAATATGTTGCTAGTAAGGGGATGCGGTGCGATTGAGCTTCGGCACAAGCACGGACGAAGTAGTTACGAGGTGGTACCAGCTATTCACGCCTTCATGGTATGAAAGGCAAAAAAGCTAAAGGTAAATCTTCGTGATGAGAGCATAAAGCTGTAGATCGAACGCCATAAAACACTGAAAAGCCAATCGTGAGTGGTTGCGACAAGAGTACATGCGAAATAGGAAGGTTCATGAAGAAACTTACAGTAACAAAGAGGAACTCGCGCTGATTAACAGTTGGATTGTGCCTCACATTGTCAATGAACATACCGTTTATGGTTTAGTGTTCGAAGACTGAAGGGGCAGATTCGCAAGTGAACCGAGCCGTAAACTCAGTCTCAAGGTCGCCGGACAAATTATCACTTGGAAGTTGAATGACACAGAGAACAAGCGCGGGGTTGACAAGGAGAGATGAAAGTTAACTTGCAGAAAACAATAAACTGCAGTAACCAGTGTAAATGTTTCGTTTTTTGACGAACAGTGGCAATCTGTGATGTCGGTACAGCCGGGCGGTAGCAGTGGTTGCCAAACGTACACTGCGCAACGATTCGTCGTCACGCGCAGGCTATTCACTGCTATTGTCAAGGTCTGTTGCTTTCGTACACTGGCACTCATGATAGCGCGAGCCGTTTCCAGAGTAGTCAACTCACTATAGCGCAACGCAGAGTTCATTGACCTGCTGATTAAACCTGATGAGACACTATTGCAAACATCCCTCGGTGACCGTTCATCCACAGCGTTGGAAGAAAAGATTTCCAGGGCAAATACTCGAAAAGAAGAGGTACCAAAAGAGGTAGCTTAACGTGCCAAAGTGGATCTCGATAGTTCATAACATGTGACAACGACCTCCAGCACCGAGGCTACTGACGATAGTACAAAGTCACTAGAGCAACAACTGAACACCGGAGGCATGCGCATTATCGACACCGGTAAACCAACTGAGTTAAACTCATAGGTGGGGTAGGCCCTAAAGATTGAGAAGATATAGCTATCAAGGGCCCGATAGCACCGTCACAAACCGAACTCAAGACCTAAAGGACCTCCAAGGGCAGACAATCTTATATTGTAGACAAACTACTGCAAATCATCAATGGTATGAACCCTTTAAGGATGATCTCTAATAAAAGGTATGGAACAATGAAATACACATTAGTAATCAATGGATCCTGACAACAAACCTCGTACAATCGCAATTTGAAGCAATATCCCGGGTTGATTAAAGACATGAACAAATGTCAAGTGGACAGTTCAAGTCATCATTGCATATCACACCATAAACATTAGTAAGGAACATTGTCAAGTGGACAACACCACTTCGCACACCACCCCATAGAAGTGCAATTCCTCCCGCGACCTTCCTCTATGACTCCTTTCTAGCGGAGGTGGGAATGAAACTGTGGTCATTCCCAACTTTAACAAATAACGTACAAGCGGAGTAAATGCTGCAATTCTACTGTAATTTTTCAAATGACTCGGTTATCTTAATGTCAGATCAACTGCAATTGAAACTTGGTGTCTTAATTCACTCCTTGCCCCAAGCACTATCCGCGTTCACACATGACACATGATCCATATGCCTACACATACTCGTAATCGACATGACCGCTTCCACATATATTTATCACGTCCATAGTGCCCGATTAGAAAGACTCACACAACAATGACGCGAAGAACGTACACCCAACTCTTCCTAGTGGGCACTCGCACGCGATGTGATCGTTGTGCTTCGGAGGTTTGCTTGAGGGACTCCACCCGGAGCCTTTGACTCAATAGCCTGACCCACAACGCAGTGGGTGATTTGGAGGTTTGCTTGAGGGACTCCGCCCGGAGCCTTTGGCTCAATAGCCTGACCCACAAGGCAGTGGGGAGCAGATCCAGCTCGGGAATGTGATTGCAGAGACAGATGGGGATCTGCTTGACGGCCGTCACACGCAGCCTCTGAGGTTCTGGAACAATCATCATATGTTTTGCGACCGTAATTGGATACGCACCTGCGACCACGACCAGACGCAGGTGGGTTTTTGGCGGGTTTGCACCAATTTGACCAGTGGCTGCCTGGCTTGAGGCGGGCAGTAGCAAACCATTGAACACCCGGAGGTGTCCTCCCACCGTCAGAGACAATGCGTGGCACTCGTGATCTACGCCAATCGAGCTGTGAGATTATAACCCGTAAACCTGTTGTCTCCCATGGCTAGGTTTTACGGGAAGTGGGCCATCGACCACTTCCTAACCTCCGGAGAGGATGGACTAGAATACTGCCAGGGCGCCCAATCCTGACAGGAGAACGACTCGGGTCCTCGGCCAAAGGCTTCGATTAAATGAACACCCGAAAGGCAGCGAGTCTAGTACATGGTCAGTTAGCCGACTCATGTGGATTGGTGTCCTGGATCTTAGCAGGGAGAAGGGCGAAACCCAACTCCCACCCAGCGGTCGCCACGTGGAGGCGCCCAGGACATGAGAATATGGCGCAGCAGTAGCAGCAGTGGGTAGACCATCTGTCAGGATCTAGCCACCACCAGCCTCAGCGCACCATAGGCTCTCCCGCCATATATATATATATATATATATATATATATATATATATATATATTCGCCATCATTGTTCACCAAAAACGTTGCCGGCTTTTTCGGATTTCACTTTTAGTGCCGTTTCTTCGCGAAGCATCTGGAGATATTCCTCCATCCACTGTAAGGGGTCTTAGCACCCATGCATTTACTTGGCGATTTTTCAAATTATGAAAATAGTTAGATGAATTGGTACAGTTAAGTAGTTGGTTTCATGACTGAGCGATGTGCTTATCGTTACTCCCAGTTAAATCGCATTCCGTCCCTTTGGGGGTAATTACCCCCAGACTAGTGTTCACAGTACTAGAGCGAAGCTGCCCTGATCGATGAGATCACAATAGTACTCGGACGTGCAACGTCGGATTAGTTGGCTCGGTCAAAGTCACGAAGTCACACAACGACAACATGTGCCTGTTTCTCACTGCTGTCCACACACACAAAAACATCGGCACTGATTTCGTGAAATATTAATCAGATCACAGAAGAGTAGTAGGGGGAGTTGAATGGTATAGGTAGAATTTCGTCACATCTAGGCTCACTCAGACAGCCGCCACAAGCCCGGAAAAGCACTGTACGCGCGTTTCATCCTTTCGGGAATCATCAGCAGTGCGCATTCCATCGGACCCTTGGTAGGGCTCGAAACCGCAACTCGACTGTTGCCAGTCCGTGGTTGAGACCACTGAGCTACGGGGGACGGCAACGACCATCGTGAATAAGTTACTAGATGTGATATAGCGCCGCTCACTATCCACTGACTTACACGTTACTGCCGTGCAGAGGACAGGGTAGCCCCCTCACCAAGCGACGAGCTTAACAAACTTAAGCCGCCAATTATCTTATGGCATTATAAGCAGTTTGTTCTATGTACTGATTACAGAAGAGTAGTAGGGGGAGTTGAATGGTATAGGTAGAATTTCGTCACATCTAGGCTCACTCAGACAGCCGCCACAAGCCCGGAAAAGCACTGTACGCGCGTTTCATCCTTTCGGGAATCATCAGCAGTGCGCATTCCATCGGACCCTTGGTAGGGCTCGAAACCGCAACTCGACTGTTGCCAGTCCGTGGTTGAGACCACTGAGCTACGGGGGACGGCAACGACCATCGTGAATAAGTTACTAGATGTGATATAGCGCCGCTCACTATCCACTGGCTTACACGTTACTGCCGTGCAGAGGACAGGGTAGCCCCCTCACCAAGCGACGAGCTTAACAAACTTAAGCCGCCAATTATCTTATGGCATTATAAGCAGTTTGTTCTATGTACTGATTACAGAAGAGTAGTAGGGGGAGTTGAATGGTATAGGTAGAATTTCGTCACATCTAGGCTCACTCAGACAGCCGCCACAAGCCCGGAAAAGCACTGTACGCGCGTTTCATCCTTTCGGGAATCATCAGCAGTGCGCATTCCATCGGACCCTTGGTAGGGCTCGAAACCGCAACTCGACTGTTGCCAGTCCGTGGTTGAGACCACTGAGCTACGGGGGACGGCAACGACCATCGTGAATAAGTTACTAGATGTGATATAGCGCCGCTCACTATCCACTGACTTACACGTTACTGCCGTGCAGAGGACAGGGTAGCCCCCTCACCAAGCGACGAGCTTAACAAACTTAAGCCGCCAATTATCTTATGGCATTATAAGCAGTTTGTTCTATGTACTGATTACAGAAGAGTAGTAGGGGGAGTTGAATGGTATAGGTAGAATTTCGTCACATCTAGGCTCACTCAGACAGCCGCCACAAGCCCGGAAAAGCACTGTACGCGCGTTTCATCCTTTCGGGAATCATCAGCAGTGCGCATTCCATCGGACCCTTGGTAGGGCTCGAAACCGCAACTCGACTGTTGCCAGTCCGTGGTTGAGACCACTGAGCTACGGGGGACGGCAACGACCATCGTGAATAAGTTACTAGATGTGATATAGCGCCGCTCACTATCCACTGACTTACACGTTACTGCCGTGCAGAGGACAGGGTAGCCCCCTCACCAAGCGACGAGCTTAACAAACTTAAGCCGCCAATTATCTTATGGCATTATAAGCAGTTTGTTCTATGTACTGATTACAGAAGAGTAGTAGGGTCACCTCCACTTTCAAAAAGGGACTGCACACAATGTGCTCTCACTAGGGGAGCAGCAACTTGGTTCCTGTCGTCTGTAAAGTTCAGGTGTCCATCATACTTCGAACGCTATCACCAATGCGTGAATCGCTATAGCAGGAAAAAC